GTTGATGGAGAAATTGGACCACAGAGGTCCCTGTGAATAAGCTCAAGAACATTGGAGGCTCGATAACTTGTTGCTTTAGGAAAACTGCATCGGGCTTGTTTTCCTGGCAAACATGATGCACAAGTCTCCTTCTCCACCGTTAGATTAGGTATACCTGCAACTATCTCCTTCTTCATCATGGTTTGCATAGTTTCTCGACCTATGTGTCCGAGTCTTGCGTGCCAAGTATTCGAATCATCAACTTTTGCAAGATGCAAACACTTAGTGTGATCAACTTCCATTGTAAATTTGTATAACCTGTTTTTGGATCTTGTTGCTTTCACCAATAAGTTACCATCTCGATCATACAGCATTAAGTAGTCTTTCTTCATGCGTATATCACAACCCGACTCTGTAGCATGTCCAAGACTAATTATATTGCTTTTCAACTCTGGTATAAAATAGACATCAGCCAATATCTTCTTCTTTCTATCCTTGGTAATGAAGATAATGGAGCCTTTTCCCTTTATGTCTATACGGGAATCATCTCCAAATCTTACTTTTCCTTTGATTTTCTCATCAAGTCTTGAGAAATAACTTCTATTCCCCGACATGTGATTGCTTGCACCGTTATCTAGATACCAGATGTTGTCTTGCTCGGTGTGTGTCTCGAATTTGCTTGGAGCTACATTCTCTTCGTTGAGATACACAACTTCATTCATCATTAGTTCCTCAGCTTCCAGTGTACTCTCATCTTCATTCTCATGTGTCTCTTGCAACTTCAATAGGCGATCTGGACATAGGTAGGCATAATGACCAACTTTATCGCATCAAAAACATGTGACACGAGATGTGTCTCTCCCTTGCTTCCAGTCTTGTTGATTATTGGTTCTTCCACGTCCCCTTCCTCTGTAACCAAACCGTCCTCCTCGTCCTCTTCCTCTATTATAAGTTTCTTGGTGGGATTGTGAATCTGTGTTGGCATACATGAGTTTCCCTTGATCCTCCTGTTGTTGCTCTTCGTCTACAATCTTCTCTTCGTATGCTTTCAGCCTTCCCACTATATCCTCAAACGTTGTGGTATTAAGATCAAGAACCTGTTCGAGAGCGGCTATAATATGTATGAACTTCTTTCTTGGAAGGCTGTGGAGAAACTTCTTTACGAGTTTTGATTCGTCTATATTTTCTCCCAAAGATAGAGATTTTGATGATAGCTCTGAGAGTTTTCCTGAAAAATCATCAATTGTGTCTGTCTCCTTCATCTTTATCCGATTAAACTCATCCATAAGCGTCTGCAGTCTAGCCTCTCGTACTCTATCAGCTCCGATATGTCGCGCCTTTATTGCTTCCCAAACTTCTTTCGAGGTTTCCAGATTACCTACTTGCAGCATCAAAGATTCAGGAATAGACTAAAACGATAATGCACGAGCTAATTCCCTTTTATCAACGTCCTCTGTTCCTGGTTCTATTGTCTCCCACACCTTGTGTACCTTAAGAACCGTCTTTATTCTCATGCTCCACACTGTGTAATTGACATTAGTAAGCATAGGAAATTGTATGGCTGAAGAACTAATCTCCTTTTGTTTGCTTATGGTCACAGCTAACTCCTTGTCTCCCATGTCTCGAATTCTTTGTTGATATCAATAATGCTCTGATACCACTTATCGTATCGTAACTTCAAGATTCAAGACTTATAAACTCAATAATAAGAACTCACTTATATAAACTTAAGAAACTTGCACAAAACTTAAGCACTCAATCTCAAACTCATAAGTTATGCTACATCACAGCATCTCCTTATATAGTACTTATCTTTTCCTAAACTCATTAGAAAACATATCTTTTAGATAACTTTAAATCTTCCTAATCCTAATCTCATTAGGATAACTTCAAGTCTAAGTTATCTTTGTTATCTTCAAGCTTAGATCAACATAGAGATAGATATTTATATAGGAGAAGTAAGGAGGGGACATGAAACAAAACATTCAAGAATATATTTAAGGTTATCACTGATTGGTAACTAACTGAAAACAGAAATCAGACATCGGAGAAGATGAAGTGGAAGCGTCGGGGAAAGAGAGACATCCAAGCTTGAAGACAATACAGGTTTGTGGGCATGTAATTTGTTGGGGGATGGAAATTTTAAGAAAATCCACACAAAAGCCCGCTCTAACTCAACAGCAGTGACGTGGCAATTTTACACTTTCTAATTGGTGGATTATTTAATCCGACGTGACAGCATCACAATTGAAAGTATTCATCTTTAATTATAGTACTGAGTACTGAGGAAGAATGATGTTAAAGCTATTATTATTACTAGTACGTCTTAAAAATCACTCTCTTCCAAGGCAAAAACAGAAGACATGTCAAAATTTTGGTAATGGCTTTTGTATTTTTTTTACTGCAGGTGCAAAGGGGAAGTTCTCTGGTGGATTTGATATACCTGGTTTTGGTGAAGTTCAAAAAGGGACAAGTATGTTTCTTTGTTTTGGTGTCTTTGTTTGATTGTGTTGGTGTTATGCATTAATGTTTGTATTGATTTTTTTAGGGAAAGAGCAAAAGGTTGGATACTTATCAATTGACATGAGTGGCAAGTTGAACTCACTGCTCCTTCTCCTGAATCTTCTCTCCCGGTTTGTGACTCCCATCACCAAAAGAAACTTGTAGCACTCTCTGGTAAATTTCTCCAGTGGTTTTGAGGTGAGCTAGCTACTGTTTTATAGTCTGTTTCTTGCTCAGATTGATAGGTGACTATGATAGTCTCTGCTTGATACTTGTTTTGTGATCTCATTCTTTAAATGATCATGCTTCATTGCTTATGCTTCTCTAGTAATAAAGCTTTAATCAGTTGTTGTTTTGTGTATCTTGTGTTGTCTAGGACTGTGGTGGTCTGATGTATCTTTTGCTCTCTTTGTTTTTATTGCAGGTGGAAGACAGTCACCATGTGACAGAAGAAGGCAATATGTTCCATCTAATCAGTTGTTGTATTGTGTATCATGTGGTCCGATGTAACTTTTGCTCTCTTTGTATTTTTGTATCTTGTGAGTACACAACTTGTGTGATATGTTTCTCGGTTTCTTTCTTTATAAGGGCATCATTATTGCTAGGGATGAACACAAGTTCCTTAGCTTATTTTATTAATTTGTTAATGCTAAGAAACAAATGTAAGAAACAATTATAAAATAGGAGATTATTGCTAGGACTTTTGAATTGTTTCTTAGTATTTTTTTTTAGTTTGTTTTAAATCATGACATGGAAATTATAATTTTATTAAAAACCTATAACTTTAAGATTGAAACATATAAGAAAACAACAAAAGTTTTTAAAACAAAATACGAAGAAAAAAACACATATAAAGATCATAAAATTTTATTCAAGTAATAGAAACTTATTAATTATATGTCATTCTGAAGATGTCCAAATTAAGTCCATATGTTTTCAATCAAATCCTCTCTTAATTGCTCATGGGCACGTCTATCTTGAACTCTTGTTCGACGTTCAATTATGTTGCCGAGATTTGAAGGCAAATCGACCGAGTATGTAAGATAGACATCATCACCTTGTTGAAATTCTGAAACGTCATACTGAGTGTATGCATCACGTTTGTCTTCGACGATCATATTATGGAGTATGATACATGATCTCATAATATTTGCGATTTTATTTTTATCCCATAATTTTGAGGGATTTTTAACAACGGCAAATCTAGCTTGCAGAACTCCAAAGGCACACTCAACATCTTTTCGCACAGATTCTTGGGTTTTAGCAAATAATTTATTTTTGGGACCCTGTGGTACTCGTATAGATTGAATAAAAGTTGCCCATTTTGGATATATACTATCCGTGAGATAGTAAGCCAAATGGTACTCCTTTCCGTTGACGTAGTAGTTGACTTCCGGAGCTATTCCGTTAATAATGTCATCAAAAACAGGTGATCGATCTAGAATATTTAGATCTTTCATAGTACCTGGAGCTCCAAAAAAAGCGTGCCATATCCAGAGGTCATATGAAGCAACAGCCTCTAACACAATTGTTGGAGCACTGGTCCCCCGTGAATACATCCCTTTCTAAGCGGTAGGGCAATTCTTCCACCCTCAATGCATACAGTCGATGCTTCCAACCATCCCGAGAAATCCACGTTGTTCTCCAATATAGAGTAGTCTCTCAAGATCCTCGGGGGTTGGACGTCTTAGGTATTCATCACCAAACAAATGTATTATTCCGGCGGTAAACTGGTGGAGACATTTTCTAGCCATTGTTTCTCTAAGTCGAACATATTCGTCAACTGCATCCGCTCGACCACCATAAGCTAACTGGCGTATTGCTGCCGTGCATTTTTGGAGCGGAGAAAGACCAACCCGTCCCACTGCATCATGTGTTGGTCGGAAATAGTCAACTTCCGTAGAGAGACGATGCACAATACGCATAAATAAATTATTGCTCATTCAGAAGCGGCGCCGGAATATATTGTGAGGATATGTTGGATTATCAGTAAAGTAATCATTCCATAATTTCTCGTTTCCGTCTTCTCGTTTTCTCTCGATAAAAATACGTGGCTTTCGTTCTTTCGGTTCTGGAATTTAAAGATATTTTTCAAAAAATTCCTCAAATGGAGTTTCTAGATTATTATCATCATCATCATTGTGATAATGGTAATGGGAGGAAGATTCCATTTAAAATGGAAAAAAAAAAAAAAAGAGAAAAAGGAAACTATGTTAAAAGTGAGAAAAATGGAGATGATTGTTGTGTCAAACATAAGAAGATATGTGTTATATTTATATACAAATGTTTCTTGTTATCTTCGAAAATTTCAAAGATTTAATAATATGCTTATATGCTTGTGGCAGAATCAAATATTGCCTTGTTTTTCTATGGCCATCCATTAATATTCTCATATGCTTAGTGTAGAATCAAATAATAAGGTGTGGTTTGGATCTTATATGCTTATATGCTTAGTATACGAATAATAGTTTCAGATTCCTTGCTAAATATTAATAAAACATAAAAGTGACTTGAGTTTGGTTAAACTTCATAAACTTCTTAAACTTCATAAACATAGTTATAGTTTGAGTTCCTTGCATTACTATACAAGGCATACATAAACCCATCGACTCGAGTTGCTTGCTTAATAAAGGACTCGACTTGCTTGCTACATTTTCTTACAAGAGAAGAACAATTACATTTGCTTACAAGACAAGAACAACCATACCAAGACAAACTACGAGAAGAACAACAACACCTACAGCCAACTCAAACTCATAACTCAACCTCGGTTTCTTCTTAACAATGCACCAACTTGCTTCTCCAACTCCAGGAGTTTCTGCTCAGTATCAAGATCATTGACATAAGTAAGTGTATCTACCTTCTCAGCCAGCTGAAGGACGTGCCTATCCATCGCTCCCATCTCCTTCATGACAGCCACGTCCCACCATTTCCAGACGTGGCAATCATCATCATCAACATTGGCGCAGGTGTAAAATCTTCTCCCTGGGTTGCTTCTGGTGTTGGACGTTGCGAGAAAAGGGCGAGCACCACAGTAGCACGTCTGAGGAAACCCGAACTCCACCTCCGGCTGAGGTGAGTACTGAACCACATGAGCTTGATGTATGTGGCCTTCGCTGTATCGCAGCTCAGCTTGGCGTATGTGCTCTTCAATGTATCCCACATTAGCTTGACGTATGTGCTCTTCAATGTATCCCATGTGCTCTTCAGCTTCGTCTTGGCGTATGTGCTCTTCAATGTATCCAAGCTCAGCTTGGTCTTGACGTATGAGGTCTTCAATGTATCCAGTGTCTCCAGAGTTCCCACCGTACTCTACCGAGACTGAAGGCTGTGAGTAGCTATAATCAAGACCCATTTAAATACTTAACCTGCAAAATAAATAGCAAAAAAAAAGCATAAGTCACAAGCATAAAACAGACTGCAGTAAAATAAATAAACCAGTAACATAAATAGTTTGAGATTCTTAAACTTCATAAACACCACAAACTTCTTAAGTTATAAACCAGTAACATAAATAGTTTGAGATTCTTAAACTTCATAAACACCACAAACTTCCTTATAAACCAGTAACATAAATAGTTTAAGATTCTTAAACTTCATAAACACCACAAACTTCCTAAGTTATAAACCAGTAACATAAATAATTTAAGATCGACAAAGTTCATAAACTTCTTAAGTTATAAAAGTTTGCGTTTGCTTTAAATTCATAAAACAGAAATAACATTCATAGAATATCCGCATTACATAGCTAGTTTGTGATCATCACAAACTAGAACCTAAAAACAACAACATAAATAAACTAGAGCTTTTGAACAACAGAAATCAAGCAAAACAACATAAATAAAGCAGAACTTAAATAGACCACACATCAACTACGACATCTCAGAAACAATGGGCTATGATTTTATTCTTCAAGTCTTCCTCAGCCTCGCTAAGTGGCTCCTTTCTAGCAAGGAGAGTGTCAAGAATAGCCAACTTTGACAGTTCCACCTTCATCTCCAAAATCCTCTCTCTTGATTTCCCAAATGCTCTTGTACTCATCAAGAGCCTTCCCTTTCGAATTGCCCCTTCTTGATTTCGCAGCCTTAGAACCTTCAGGATGGGCCTCTTCCTCGCCAACATTGGTGACTGAAGCTTGGGAAGCTGTCTCACCGGTTTTCCTCTTTGAACTGTCACTTTCTTTAGTGGTGTTGAGGTTAAGCCATTTCTGCTCATACCTCAACACACACCACGCATGTTCAAGGGTGAATTTGTAGTCATGATCCGCATAGAAGAGCTCGTGAGCCACCTTGAGGACATCATTATCATGGTGACCACTGCCGTTCTGTCTCTCTGCCGCAGCAAAGGCACCACAGAACTTATTGGTTTGGTCATTGATCTTGTGCCATCTCTTTTTAAGGCTGAGTTGCTCCACTTTCTCACCAGTAGCCTTAGCGTGACGGCTTGCTGCGTAGTACTGCGTCACTCTGTTCCAGAAGGTGCCTGCGTTTTGATCATTCCCGACAACAACGTCCTTCGAGGTGTTGAGCCACGCACTTATGAGGACCTCGTCATCAGCTGGCGTCCATTTCTTCCTCACCTTACGTATCACTGGTGGGACAACCGGGTGACTTGGAGCGTCAGCTTGCTGAGTACTGAATGGAGGGTTTTCGTTGGCTTCAAGGTTAATACTAGAATGGAAACTTTCAAAATTAAAATTTCCATGGTTAAGGCTTTGTTGTTGGCTGTTTAGAAGGCCAACATAGCCAGGGGACTGACTATATGTGGTCCTTGGATCCATATCAAAAAAAAAACAGAGAATGGATTGAAGTAGAAAATGCTCTTGTTGACGGGTTTTAGCAAAGAGGAGGGGTGATGTTCAGGTTCAAGAATGGTTGGGGTTTAATATAGATGAGGAAGTTAGGTGTAATAAGTTTCAGTCTTAATGTCTAACCATAAACCACAAATGTCATTTCATCAGTTATTACGTTGTACAGAGTTAGCAAATAGTGTTTAATTAAAAGTGACTTCGTTTCAAACCAACTACACTTCATGTAAACATATCTAACATATGTAACTATAACATAAAAGTCAAGCATAATTGTAAACAAACCAGTAACCAATGCAGTAACCGAAACAATCAAACCTGCCTAACCTATCTAACTAAATAAGTAACCAGTTCACACACACAGAAGTACCTAAGTTATAGCTGTTTCAAAAGCGTAAAGACTCTCACCAAAATATTCAAATTCACAGCTCAATTCATGTCAAAATTCAAGTTGTGGTTTCAAAATTCAAGTTGTGGTTTCTTCTATTTTCCGTCACAGCTCAGTTAATGTCAAAATTGAACTGTATCAGTACTACTAAGTCATAGCGTAAAGCATACATATACTAATCACAGAACGTACCAACCATTTTCTGATGAGTAATGCTAATCACAGAACTTACCAACCATTAACGCAACACTAAATCACAAAGTTCGAGCCAAACAATTTACCAACCATTTCAAGCAATTATAATTGCTAATCGTTAACAAACTAAATCAAGTAAGCAATGAATCGAGAAGAAGAAACATCATATGCCGGATCCAAACAATCAGTAGAATAATAAATTGATTTTTAATCGCCACGATAAGGAAGAAGAACCACCAAAAAACAAACTTTACACATCTGATTTACGATTTTTGAAAGAGGATTTACGATTTCTGAAAACCCTAAACCTACACAGATTTTCAATTAAGATTACACAACCACCAAACCAATCATGCAAAACCATTTATCAGATTTGAAAAGATGAAAAGACGAACAAAAAATAATTCCTAGGACTTTTGAACAAATGAGAAGACGAACAAATAAAAGCCTGTGACAGAGGAGATTTACCTGGAGACTCGCCGGAGAAAGATCGATCTTCGAATGGAGTACGCCGGAGAAGGATTAATTACTTCGTCTTCGACAAATCACCGGAGAGTCGCCTCGTCGTCATCGATCTGCTTTTGTGTAGAGGAAAATGAGAAAGAGAGGAGAGAGACGAGACGAACCGAGTTGCTCATTTTCGGTCGAATCCCATCGCGCCACGTCGCCTAAAGATGAGCCCAATTTGTTTCTTAATTAAGGTCCAAGTTGGTTGTTTCTTCGGGTTTTCCATTTATTTTTCGACCCAAAAATGTAAGAAATGGGCTAAAAAACGCCCGATAATCATGCCCTAAGTTGACAACTTAACATTTTGTTTCTTCACGTCTTTTTTACAAACCTTTAAGCTTTAACATTTTGTCTCTTCACAACAACAACACGGGAGAGAGCAAATGGCATAAACATTTTGTTTCTTCACTTCTTTCTTCACAAAAATTTTAAGCTTTAGCATTTTGTTTCTTCACAACAACAACACGAAAGAGAGCAAACAACAACAAACAACACTCCAAAGCTTTAAGATTTTGTTTCTTCACTTTCTTCAAATCATTCAATTTTTTAGAAAAAAATAAAAAAATAAAGAACCTCAAGAGATTTTCCCATTGGAGGATGAAAAAATAATTTAGACTAACAAGGGTTCTTAAATTTTCAAATCACAAAATTAAATAATAATTTATTCAATAGAACCCATTAGGGCCTCTAACCAATGGACTTGCTCTTATCATCTGGATTCGAGTTTGAGAAAATGCTAGAGTTAAAAAAAATCAGTTTTAGCAAACTTAATATTTTTCTTGTTCTGAGTAATTCATGGACTTTGACAAAAAAAAAAAAAAAGAACAGTTTAAGTTTTTACCCGTGTCTTGAATCTTGATCCACGAAGTACTACTCACTTCACCTAAAGTAATGATTAAGAAGCATCAGAAACTACAAATTCAAGAAACAGAAGGACGTCTTCTCTTCTGAAACATGAATTGTTTCTCTGTGGTCTTCTCCTCCGTATGTTTATGGTTACCGGCAACACTTTGGCTTCTTCTAAATCTCAACATGATTGCGTTCGGCTTGTTCAGACCTCTAGAGAGCTTCCTAAACAGTTCATAATGCAAGCTTGGACTCTTCTCACTGGCGTAATGATTTTCATATAGAATAATTTTTTTTAATATCATTAACTAAGTTTTATACGAGTATATATATATATCTCTATAATATTATTTGAGAAGTCAGTTTCTTATGTGTCGCTCTCACGTTCATTCTCACGATGGTTGATTACATTGATACCCTTAATGAGTATTAATTGTATTATTAATTCGTTTATTTTTAGTTTTTCCTTTTCAAAAATTTCCAAAAAGATATGTAATAAAAAATCATTTTTCATAAAGTCATAAAAAACAAATTTAAAACGAAAATATATGTATATATAATATAATTTCATAAAAAAGGAAAGTTGACAAAATAGTAATAATACATTTAAATATTTTTAAATAACATAAAAATATGTATATATAATATAATTTCATAAAAAAGAAAAGCTCACAAAATAGTAATAATACATTTAAAAATATTTTTAAATAACATAAAATATACTTTTATAGTAATAAAATAGTTTATAATTAGTATTATTGAATTTTTATTTATTTTTATATATTTAGTTGACTATAATGTCTTTCANAAATATTTTTAAATAACATAAAAATATGTATATATAATATAATTTCATAAAAAAGAAAAGCTCACAAAATAGTAATAATACATTTAAAAATATTTTTAAATAACATAAAATATACTTTTATAGTAATAAAATAGTTTATAATTAGTATTATTGAATTTTTATTTATTTTTATATATTTAGTTGACTATAATGTCTTTCAGTTACAGAAAATGATCTAGAACTTATATTTTACTTATATAATATTATTTTCAAATACAATCACAATTTTGTGTAGTGCTTATTTTTAAGAGATTAAAAACTAAAAATAAATTTAACAATAAACATAGTTTGGTCAAAATAATTGTTCTAGTGAGCTAGATATATGATATTTTATCATTATTAAAATTATTTATTTTATTAATATTAATTGTTTTAAATTTTATGTTTTATGTTTGTGAAACTAAATATAACCATAATCAAAATATCAAAGCAAATCTGAATTCTCAATTTAAGATTATTTAAAATAAATTTCAGTTTACATTTAATAAATCTAAAGCATAAAGTTATTTAGAATTTATAAATGCATGTAACTTTTTATTGATCATATGATAACTCAAAACATGTTAACAAATAAAATAAAATACTAACCAACTCTTACAATTTTAGTTCTTTTGTAAAATTTATATATATACATGAGATTTTAGAATATTTTCGTTATATTAATTTACGTATTTTGGAATCTACACTTTAGTTAATTTTTAATTCATTCTAAGCACAATATATCTTAAGTTATACATAATTTTCCTAATATATATTTACATATCTAAGACAACACCCACCATATGCGAATAATTAACTAATTAAAAATTAATATATTTTAAAATATTACAGTTGAATTCAGAGATGCAATCCAATTTATCCAAATGATAACTAAATCAACCGTAAAACAACAAAATTGACTAGATATAACATATATAAAATTACAGTATAAATAAATTAATATAATACTATTAATATATATGATGCATACAAAGTATAAATTAATTTAAAATTAAAAGTAAATAATAATAAATTATTATTATATATTTAATTTAAAAATAATTATACCCGTGCATGAGCACGGGAAAATCACCTAGTATATATATATATGCTTTCCAAATATTCAAAACATATCATTCATTTAGAAAATAAAGTACAAACGCCTCTTCGTATAACTCAAAACGACTTTTCTTTCTGTGGTCTTCAATAAATCAAAATAAAATCAGAAGAATAATCGATCACTAGATTTTGTTCAATCAAATATTGTTTTCCCAAAAAAGGAAAGAAATTGAGCGACCACTAGTTTTGGTCTGTGGAGACACTTGGCTCTACATGTACAAAAGGCCAAAAGAGGAGCACCACAAGCTTCACAATAAAACAATATTGAAGAACTTGAAGAATCCAGACATGCAAATTATGATCATGATACTTCGTTTATATAGTATATAATCTAATATTTCACAAAATAAAATATGTCGATAGTAGTAAACTACATACATATTTAGTCTTGTATGAAAAGTTGACAAAAAATATCTCGGTGGAAAATAGTAAACTGCTAGGTTAAAATCCACGCCTTACCAGAATAAATATTTTAAATAAATTATATTTATGCATTATTATTTATTTTCTATTTTGACACTTATTATAAAATAATGAATATATAACAAAACAATTAAAATATTAGTAATTAGTATGTATATAATTAAATTGGTGCGTGCGTATAAATCGAACGATCACTTTTGTTTATATAAATCGAACGATCACTTTTGTTTATTAAAATTCATTTTATGGTCAATAAATCAAAACAATGAATTTGCCTATTATATATGATATATAATTGTTTCACAAAAAAAAATGATATATAATTAAATTTAACTGATATTAACATAGATATATAATATATTTCGAATATGGTTATTTATCAAATAATCATATCGTTTTAGGATTATCAATATTTTTTTATAAGAAAATTTTAAGCAATTGATAAAACTTTTTAAAGTGGGATGTTTATTAAGTTTAGTAATTTATAATCATTTTAAAAATTCAATGTAAATCTTCAAAATTAAAATACTAAGTCCTCAATATTTGTTCAATATAAATATCAAAATAAAAGTATGTATTTTTATGGTATATAATTATTTTAAATTATATGTATATATATTAATATTAATATTAATAAAAACACCTATTAAATAAGGTTTCCTACTCATTGATTTTACAATCATTTGTATTTTATTATAATGAGATATTTAAAATATTGATCACAAAATTTATATGAGATTTTTAATAGTATAATAATTTAAACCCTGTATAACAATTGTTTATGTGGGATCTTTAATACTTTAGTAATTTAAACTCGTTTAGTTGACCAAAAAGAAAGTAATTTAAACTCGTTTTAAAAAATTCAAAATACAACATATACGAAAAACTCAAAAATTTTATTATATGGTTAATGTAATTGTTTAATTTGTTTTCACAATTAATATTTAAACAAAAATGGTAGAGGATATACAAATTTCTAGCACATCTTTATTTTGGAAATCATTAATTGTTATATATAATTTAATCAAATTACGTAATTTCTTAGTTTTTATTTAAGTAAAGAATGAATAATATTTTTTAGAATAATAAATGATTTTATAGTTAGTTTAATGAAACTATAGTTTATGTTTAGATGAACCAACTTTTTTTTTCACTGACTCTCAAAAATTATTATCATCACTACATGTATCATCACTCAAATGTTATAATACTTTCTGTTTTAATATTTTAGGATATACATCTTGTCTACGTGATCAAAATCAAACCAGAAGAATATTTGTTCATATATTTTATTTTTTTTTAAATATAGATCATACTATAAAAAGGATTTATTTGCTAACTAACCAAAAAAGTATAATTAGATTTGTAGAAAAATGTTAGAGAGAGAGATAGGAAGAAAAAATAAGGGAGAGAAGATGACTTTAGATAGTTAGTGAATTTGTGTTTTTTGTTTGGTTATATAGGAATTTCCCTTAAAAAAATGAGTGGTCAGTGAAAAAAAATATAGCTACAGAGGTCAAAGAGGAACACCACAGTCTTCACGTCTCTTCACAATACAAAAGATATCGAAGAACTTGAAGAATCATCCAGATATGGAAATGATGATCATGATTCTTCTCTTATCCTCAATAATCTTCATCACCATTCTCTTCCTGACGAAAGGGAGAAAAAGCAACACACCACCATCTCCACCGACATTTCCGTTGATCGGAAACCTCCATCAGCTCGGCCATCATCCTCATCGATCACTATGCTTCCTCAGCAACCGTTATGGTCCTCTCATGCTCCTTCACTTCGGCAGTGTCCCCGTTCTTGTAGTCTCTTCCATGGAGGCGGCTCGAGACGTCTTGAAGACGCACGACCGCACTTTTGCAAGCCGTCCACGGTCTAAAATCTTCCAAAAGCTTCTTTACGATGGGCAAGATGTGGCCGCAGCTCCTTACGGAGAGTACTGGAGACAAATGAAAAGTGTGTGTGTCATCCATCTCCTAAGCAACAAAATGGTACGGTCCTTTCGAGACGTGAGAGAAGAAGAGATCAGCCTGATGATGGAAAAGATCCGGAAATCATCATCGAGCTCTTTACCCGTGAATCTAAGCGATCACTTGGCAAATTTATCTAATGATGTGATATGTAGAGTTGCTTTGGGAAGGAAATACTGGCGTGAAACGGATTTTAAAGAGTTGATGGAGAGGTTCACAAGGCTATTGGGTGTCTTTAGTGTTGGGACTTTTGTCCCATGGCTTGCATGGATCGATCGGATACGCGGCTTGGATGGTCAGCTACAAAAGATGAAAAATGATCTTGATGACTTCTTTGAGAGAGTCGTACAAGATCATGTCGATGGTGACCGTGACCAAGATAGGAATGATTTTGTGGATGTATTGCTCACACTTCAGAGAGATAAAAGCATTGGGTTTGAAATTGACAGAGTCAGTATTAAGGCAATCGTCTTGGTAAGGAAAATATTATTAAATTCTCTTTCAATCAATATGATAATAATAATTCAAATTTAATAATGTTTTTATTTAACCGTAATTCTTGTATTGTCTTCCAGGATGTGTTTGTAGGCGGTGCGGACACAACGTACACACTCATGGAATGGACAATGACAGAGCTTCTACGTCACCCCGAATGTCTTAATAGACTTCAAGAAGAAGTCCGTACGATTTGTAAGGGAAAATTGAGCGTCTCAGAAGAAGACATTCAAGACATGAACTACTTGAAAGCTGTGATTAAAGAGACACTAAGGCTACATCCTCCACTTCCATTGATGGTTCCTCATGAGTCAATACATGATGTCAGATTAAGAAATTACTACATACCTGCCGGCACACAGGTAATGATCAATGCATGGGCGATCGGGAGAGAGGTTGTGACCTGGGGACCAGACGCAGAGGAGTTTAGACCGGAGAGGCATTTAGATTCTTCTATTGATTTCCGAGGCCAACATTATGAGCTGATTCCATTTGGAGCAGGGAGAAGGATTTGCCCAGCAATATCATTTGCTTTTGTTTTGAATGAAGTGGTTTTAGCTAACTTAGTGCATCAGTTTGATTGGAGATTCCCGGTTGAATCTACAAAAGATCAGACCGGTGTGGCTGAATCAACGGGTATTGCGATTCACCGCATGTTCCCTCTTTACGCCATTGCATCATCTACGACTTGACTTGAGCAGCATATATAAATGCTTTATTAATAATGTTGTGTACCACGAACATGTTTGTACTCATTTGAAACTGTGACTAGCAGAAAGAGTCTTTGATATTATTACATTCTTGACTAACTAGTCTAATTTAGATAAGCCAAGGCTTGATTCATTGTCAGTCCCATCTTAGACTGAAGTTTGGCTATTTGCTTTAGGCAACCTCTAATCTAAGACTGGTCCTGCTTTCAGTAATATGGTAAGCTAAACATATGAATCTAATATTTTGAAATGTCTTTGAAACTTTATTTATTTGAAATGATTAGATTTTGTGGACTTTGTGGCTATATTAAAAAAAAAAAATCTAACAAATAAGGTATTTGAAATATGGGTTAATTTGCCAAATGACTAAAAACTGAAGTGAAATTAAGAGAATGATATTGATTTTGACGTAATTGAATAAGTAACATTTGAGGTTCAGATGATCCGGTTATACCCCTGATTAGTGCAAGTAACCGGTGACAAAGATATATAAATGACATCGAACACTATTATTTGGTCCACGTTTTAAGCTACATGTTCAAAACTTACAAAGTAAAAGAAAACCACGTTACATTAATATCTGCCGCATACAATGTTTTACTGTTTCAGTGAATTTGTTAACAAAATTGAACCATTCCAATAAATGGTGTATTCTATTTAATAGAGTCATTATGTCTATTTGGATAAGGAAAAAGAAAAAGACAAAAAAAAAAAATATTTCATATCATCAAATAGCATAAAATACCAACCTATCTTAATCCTAAATACTAAACTATGTCTTATTTCCATCCCTAAATCCAAGTCTCAAATAAGTATGTAAAGTAATTAATTTTCCTCAAATCATAAACCTAACCCCCAATTTCACTCATCCTCTAAATTCTAAACTTTAAACCTTAATCACTAAATACTAAACTCAAATATAAACCTTAAACCCAAAATTTGTGTGAAGATTGCACTTTTGCGGAAATGGTTAATGAAGTGATAAATTTAAGTTTTGATCAATAGGCATAAACTAAAATTTATATCAATGATACAACAACAAAATATAACTCATGTTTATTTATTATAATATCATATTTCTATTCTATGTTCTGAAAATAGAATAGAATTGAACAAATAGTAAAGATTATATATTCCATTTCACAAGTGTGATCTTTCCATTTTAGATGCACACGATCAAATAATATTTTGTTTCCTTTTGTTTTAAAATTTTAACAAATAGTAAAGGTTCACCCCCAATTTCACTCACCCTCTTAATTTTAAAATAAAAAATAAAAAATAATAAAAAATAATAGTAGTTGCAAACAAAAAACTTAAAAAAATATTTTAACACCATCAGCAAAACACTAAACCCTAAATTCTAAACCCTAAACCCTAAATCATAAACCCTAAACCATTGGGTAAACCCAAAATCCTTGGATAAATCTTTTATTTTATAAAAAATATTTTTGATACTGACAGCAAAACACTAAACCCTAAACCCTAAATCATAAACCCTAAACCCTTAGGTAAACTCTAAACCCTTGGATTAATCTTAAACTTGGATTAATCATAAATCCTAGTGTTTAAGATTAATCCAAGGGTTGAGGATTTACCCAATGGTTTAGGGTTTAGGATTTAGGGTTTAGGATTTAGTGTTTAGCTGGTGTTGATAAAAATATTTTTTTAAAAACGTTTTTTTATTTGTAACTACTATTACTTTTTATTTATTTATATTTTAATTTTAAAAACATAATATAACTCGATAATATTTTGTTTTTTTTTTAAAGATACTAAATATAAAACAATGAAATCCTATTGGTTGTGAACCTAGAGATTCACCTTAGAGGGTGAACCCATTTCTCTTAATGAATCAAGGAAAGACATCCACATTACATGTATTCTTACCATGTACGGTTTAATTGGACTAAGTAAGTGTTCTATTCTATTTATGTATTACGTTTGATAGAAAGAAACAAAACATATTCCTATAAAATGGAACCATAAACTCTAAATCAAACCCTCACATCTAAATATTAAACTCTAAATCTGAATTTCTAAACTCAAACCCAAATGTTAAATCTAATTTAAAGTTACAATATTAAAAATTAAAATTAAAATAACAATATTCTATACTATCTAAAATGGAATGGAGATTACTCTTGTGAACTAATATCGTCAACTTTAACACCAACCCACTTCCAACCCTAAACCCAACACACCTCCAAAACTTAAATAGTAAATCCTAAACTTAAATTCCTAAACCCAAACCCAAATGTAAAATATTTTAGATTAAATTAAAATATGAAAATAGTATATAGTATTTTGTACTATTAACTATACTGTATAAAATGGAAAAGAAATTAGATTTGATGGGGAAATACATATTTGTAGATGAAATAGTGATGACATCGATACCTATAGATGTGGAACATAGACGCAAGGTAAGGCGTCGTCACATCCGTTCTTACCGCCTTTAAGTTAATTGTGATAAATACTTGTTCTATTCCATTTATACAAAGTAGTATGTCTGCTAGCAACAAACATAACTCATTCACACCAAATAGTTGAGCACCTTTGTGCATGATAATCTCGAATTGGTCTTGAAAGGTGAATATAATGAACTTTAGATTTTTATACTATATTTACATAGTATGCTGACTTAACAGACTGTTTATTGAGATTCAGAAAATCAACCCAGCTTATGCAGCTTATTTAGTAGACATAGGTGTCTATTCCATTATGTATAACACATATAGTATATTCTATTTTCACTTTCTATTATATTCTTAAATACAGAACTATTTAATCATATTTGGCAACAAAACACAACCATATACATTTACAGTTTTTTATCAGTGCACTCAAGTGCATTTCAAAGGGCAAAGGTACAACATAATGTATGGGAGAGAATGTAATAAGCGAACATTACAGAGAAGGTATAGGCTCCCATCTGCAACATTTACCCAAACAGTTATTCGCCAACATCGCCAACTGATCGCCTTATAATGCAGACTTGATAAGTTCGATCCACCAGAGGTTGAAATAGTTATTTACTCGTTTTCTATCAGTTGGCTCAAAACCAGTTTCAAACAGTCGACTTGGGAGCCATAATTCTTCCATGGAAAAACTGAGGTACAAAGGCAAATAAAATTGGGTTAGCTGATGGAACAATAAAATACATAAACAATGCAAAATGGTGAAATAGAATAGTCAGGACTTTGAGTTCCCATATTGTACTATATTATGTACGTATAAGACCATACAGAAGAGAAGCAAAGATAAAAACAAGTCGGTGAAAGTGTCTTGTACATAGAACGCCAAATAGAACAACAAATTAATGGAATAGAACAATTACTCAAATAGTACTGTATCAAATAGTATAGCAAAAGGAAAACAAACAAAAAGGCCTAATAAAAATTCACAGAAATCAATGGGTACATAAAATTCCAAACTAGGAAGACAAGCACACGGTAACAGAGTAGTAAACAAGCTGAGGGACCCCGAGTTAAACAGAGAATAGAGAGAATAAACGCCTAAACTTAGACAACCGAGCAACCATTCACTGTGGACATGCACGACCAAAGTAATAAACTCTATTGGTAGAGTAGATATAAATCCATTCCATTTATCATATAATAAACATTGTATATATAACTGTGCATAGAAATCCATTCCATTGACAAAAAATAACTGCTCTATTTTTCTCGAGGACTATACTATGTCTTCATAACGTTGCAAAATATGAAGACAAGCACATCGTAAAAAACTAGTACACAATCCAAGGGACATATAAATCCATTCCATTTATCACAAAATAGACAACTATAAACTGTTCTATTTCACTTGTCGTCTATACTATGCCAAACTTCCATAGCAAACTAGGAATATATAGACACCATAACAGACGTCTAAACTAGTGACCCCCCCATTAAAGATAGAACGAGACAAACAACGCCTAAACTTACAAAACTTATGAAAACGTTGACAGCAAACATGCAAGAGGGGAAATCAGACAATTTATCGAGTATTTTTACATAAGTCACCGAAGATCACCAGTTGAATACACTGGACATTCGATTTCACTTGAAATCGAATGTTAACCAGCCATCCTACTTTACTAGATGTAGAAGAACTATACTATGTAATTGTGAGTTAGAAGAGTAAGAACACGAGAAATACCAAAAAAAAATCCATGAATTAATCTGAGAAATAAGCAGATTCTCAAAACAGAAAAGTAGATCAGAACTTACAAGAAGCGAAGGGTGTGTTAAGCGGCATGGTTCTTCATCCGATTATCAGATTCTTCAACTTTAATCTCTGAGAAGAAGACGACGGTGGATGTGGGAGACGGTGCGAACGCGTAGCGTAAATTGTGTCTAAGAAACTATTCACCTTCTTCAAAACTATCTAGATAAAATACCATTGTGGAGGGTTGTGACTGTCGACAAACCACGTCGACAGTTATTAAGAAAATTGATAATTATTATTTGATTTTTATATTAGCAGGTTTGCCGGTTATTTAAAGGGGATAATATGGCTATTATATATATAAGCGTGATGGTATATAGATGGTTTAGGCTATTTGTAGAGCGGGTGAATTATAATTTTATTGAAGGTCATAGCGTGCAATTTCCCTTGAAATATTGTTAAAATAGAAGATATTTTTTTCTTCTTTTGTATGATCAAAGACATTTTCTGATTTTTTTTATATTCAATTTAGTTGTTATGTGCTTGGGCACATACTTTAAGAAGAGACTAGACCTTGACCCGTGCGATCGCACGGGTATTAATTTTATTTTTTAATTTTTATATTAAATGAAATTTTTGTAAAAATTAATTGTATTACATTAAGTTTTTTTTTTGTGTGTGTTAACAATTTATTGTATCAAAAATATTGGATATCATACAAACAAATTTAACATGCAGACGATATATTGAAAATATTTTTCAGTTAAATATACATCAAATCTTGATGTTTAAATTATATAAAATTTTTAATATATAAATCATTTGGATTGAAATTTGTAAAATAAAAATGAAGTATCAATTAAATGGTTACAAATTACTTATGGATTTAATTTGACAGAAGAATACCGAAAAGTTTGTTGTTTG